CCCGAGGGGCTGGTGGGTGGCACTGCCCAGGGGATGGGGGGTTTGGGGTGTCTCCAGAGGGGTTGATCCCAGGGACAGGGAGTTTGGGGTGTCCCCGAGGGGCTGGTGGGTGGCACTGCCCAGGGGGACAGTGGGTCGGGGTGTCCCCAAGGGGCACTGGGTGGGTGCTGGGACAGGGGTGGGGACGGTGCCAGCTCCGAGGGGTGGTGGCAGCCTGAGGGATCGCGGGTCTGAGGGACAGGGACAGATCTGGGGGGCTGGTGGCAGTTTAGGGAGGGGGTCGCAGGTCACGGGTGACAAGTGACAGCTCCGTGGGGACAGTGACACTCTCGTGGGGCTGGTGACACCTCCAGGACATGCCACCACCCCCTGGCACACCCAGGGCTGGGTGGAGCGGTGTGCACTGGGGGTGGTGGTGTCACCATTGTCCCCTCACCATTGTCCCTTTGTCACTGTCCTATATCCTCCCACCATTGTCCCGTGTCCCCTCACGGCTCTCTCGTGTCCTCTCCCTGCTGTCCGTCGTGTCCCCTCTCGCCTGTCCCTGTCCCCTCCCTGCTGTCCCTGTCCATGTCCTTGTTCCTGTCCCTGTCCCCATCCCTGTCCCCTCACCGCTGTCCCCATCCCCGTCCCCGTCCCCTGGCTCTGTCCCTGTCCCTGTCCCTGTCCCTGTCCCTGTCCCCGTTCCCTCACCCCTGTCCCTGTTCCTGTCCCTGTCCTTGTTCCTGTCCCCATCCCTGTCCGCTCCCCACTGTCCCTGTCCCCTCACCCCTGTCCCTGTCCCCATCCCCGTCCCCGTCCCCGTCCCCAGCACCCCTTCATGGAGCTGCGGGTGCTGGAGAACAACAAGCGCTCTCGGCGGAACCTGGGGCTGGACTGCGACGAGCACTCGGCGGAGTCGCGCTGCTGCCGCTACCCGCTCACCGTGGACTTCGAGGCGTTCGGCTGGGACTGGATCATCGCCCCCAAGCGCTACAAGGCCAACTACTGCTCGGGCCAGTGCGAGTACATGTTCATGCAGAAGTACCCGCACACGCACCTGGTGCAGCAGGCCAACCCCCGCGGCTCGGCCGGGCCCTGCTGCACGCCCACCAAGATGTCCCCCATCAACATGCTCTACTTCAACGACAAGCAGCAGATCATCTACGGCAAGATCCCCGGCATGGTGGTGGATCGCTGCGGCTGCTCCTAGAGCCGCCCTGCCTCCCCTCGTCCTTCCCCGCCCGCCTCCCCTCCGAGCGAGCCCCCCCTGCCCCCCGCGGGCTCCTCATTTTTTCCGCTTTTTTTTTTCTTTATTATTTTTTTTTTGGTTTTGTTGTCGGTTCGGGGCGGGGCGGGAAGCGAAAAGCGACAAAGGCCAAGCGTTGAAATCGGTTTGGACGGCGGAGGAGAGAGAGGAGGAGGAGGAGGAGAATCCCACGGAGCAGCGGCCCCGCGATCCCACGCGCATTGTGCAATAAAAGCGACCGGACGGAGAAGGGAAAGGGGGGGACGGGGAGGGGGCGCCGGGACCCCCACGCCGCGGTGGCGACACGGGGACACGGCCCCGGGTGGCGGCTGCCCCGGGCCAGCCCAGCGGGGAGAGCAGGAGGAGGAGGAGGAGGAGGAGGAGGAGGAAGAGCGAGCGCACCCCGCGTCTCCCCGTGCTCCCGGAGCAGCGCCGGTGGCACCGCCGGTGGCACCGCCGGTGGCACCGCCGGTGGCACCGCCGGTGGCACCCGAGGCGGGGTGACCCCGTCCCCGCGGCCGCAGCGAGGTCCGCCCGCGGGACCCGCGGGACCGGGAGGAAAGCGCCTCCCTTCTTTAATTTATTTATTTATTAATCGCCCTCCCGGCCGGCGCTCGCCCCGCTCCCTCCCCTCGCGGCCGGGGCCGGCTCCGGAGGGGCCGGAGAGCCCCGGGGACCCCCGGGGACCCCCGGGCAAGGGCGGCCGCAGGGGCCGGAGCCTCCGCCCGGGCTTTGGATGCAGCCCTGGCACCGGCCCCGGCGCTGCGCCGGGGGGTGAGGGCGGTCCGGCGGCCCGGGGGTCACCCGGAGGCGACACCAGAATTGTTGGGAGGCTCCGGCTGGGGCTGAAATTCCGCTTACGCCGCACATTCGCCTCCCGCTGCCCTCGGAGGGTTTGGGTTTTGTTTTTTATTTTGGTTTTTATTTTTTTTCCCCCCCCTCCTCCCCGTTGTTTGTGTTTGTTTCACGTGAGAACGAACCCCCCGAGGCTCCGCCGCGGTTCCCTCCCGGCCCCGAGCGATGCGGGCGGGGCCGGGACCCGGCGCCGGAGCGGCCGCGGCCGGAGGAGGCTCCGGGAAGGGGGAGAAGCCCCCGCGGCCCCCGGGCCCAGCACTTATCCCCGGGGGGCTCCGGGCGGAGCAGCACTTAGGGCGACTCACGGCCCGGGGGCTCTCGGCATCTTTAGCACTTGTCGCCGGTTCCGCCGCAGCCCCGCGGAGCCCGGAGCGCTCACGGGGCCGAGGCGGCCCCGGGGGGACGACGCGGCTCCCCCGGGACCCCCTCCCGGCGCCGCAGCACTTAGGGAGCCCCCGGTGCCAGGCCGGTGCCGCCGCCCGGTGCCGCCGCCCCGGTGGCGACGGGGACAGCGGGGAGGGGGCAGGGAGGGAACGGAGGGGTCCCCGCGCCCCCAAAACGGGCACAAGCCTGGCCCGCGTGGCCGCCAGCCCCTCACGGTGCCCCCCGGACCCTCACGGTGCCCCCCAGACCCTCACGGTGACCCCTAGACCCTGGTGGTGACCCCCAGACCCTCCTGGTGACCCCCAGACCCTCACGGTGCCCCCCAGACCCTCCTGGTGACCCCCGCCCTTGGTGGTGACCCCCAGCCCTTGGTGGTGCCCCCCAGCCCCTGGCGGTGGCCGTGCCCCCCAGCCGGGGATGCCAACCCGGGGTCGGGG